TAACTAATCGTAAGTAAATAACTTCATTTCAAAAGAATACTTTATAATATACCTTAACTGAATGTCAGCATGAGGATGGTTTGGAGGTGAGTCGTCGAGCGTTGTTTTATCATTGTATGTTGCACTCAATGACCGTTCAAGACCATACTTTTCAATTAACAGCTGATTGTTGTCATTGTTGTCAGTATCGTTGTCAACAGCGACGTGAACACAGTCATCGATTGAATTTGGATTTGCATTGACCAAACTTGATGGAGTTGATAACTTCGATAAGCATTTCAATACGTCGTTTGATGAACATCTTTTCGTTTGCACACTCTCTGATTTTATTCACTTCATTCAAGATGTGATCATTACATTGTAATTTTTGTTAGTAGTGCTGTTATCATCATTGTTATGATGTTAATATGATTATCGCTAGTATTCTTATTAATATCATTATCAATAATACTATTACTATTAATACTATTATTGTTCTTATTATGATCATTATCATTAATGTTATCATCACAAGTAAAATAAATATCAATCTTAGAATCAAGCTATGCACGATCACCAATCAATTTCTAAGTGCAATTTCTTCTCGATGAACAATAAATCAAATATTGAATGGTAATAATAATGATAATGAATACCCGTCTTGATAATGTCAATCTTTCTGCACTCTTTATCTTTATCACTATCATAATAATCCCAACATGCCCATCGTGCACGTTTATAACGTGATTCTATTGGTACTATCTGAATGAATCGGACTGTTTATCTACTTATTCATTTAATTATTTGATGTCTATTGCCTTGCAATCCGCATGAAATCTACTGGGTGAACGGCAAGAGCCACCTTTGGAGCACAAACATTTCAGCCGAACGACCTGGATTATGATGTGAAGCGAGAATCGTTAGTGAAACTTGCATTCATAAGACAGCTGATCACAAATTCTGGGACGGAATCAAAGAGCGTACTTGAAGAGAATCGAAAAGAAACGTGATGAAGGCGAGAGCCATTTATAATTCTGATGATCTTTCGATTTACAACAGTCAACCATTTACACATGACAATAATCACATTAATGTAAATGATAATGATAATAATGTTCATAATAAAGTAGCATATCGATTTCGATGGCAGTTTAAAAAAATAATTGTTAACCTTGAAACGCGATCCAGAAGTGGTCATACTGTGTGATGTAGTAATGACGGCTGACAGTTGTTACGATAACACCACACCTCA